TTTCTGCCACAGGGAACGGTGCCACTTTCAGCGACAGACACCCCCAGCCGTGAGCTTGTCTGCATTCGTCCGCTGGAGATTTTCCCAACTGGTGCCCCCCCCCCCCCCCCATGGAAATATTCACCATAAAAAAAGAAAAAAAAGTCACCGAAAACAGGGGGAAAATAAAATTGGCAGAGAGGATGGAGAAAAAAAATGACACTCTCAACCGAACAGAAAACAAGGTTTATTCAACTTGAAAGAAAAGCCACGCAACTAAAAGATGGATATACAATCATGGGAAACAAAAACAGGTTAAAATCATAGCATGCAGATTTCAATGTGAAAATGTATATATTTAAAGTGCAGACTCCATGTTGTAGGAGCGTCGTTCAGCCATGCTACAGGGTCTTCACACCTATGTACAAATCCCAGCTCTCCCTCTCTCGTCCTGTACACCCGAGTCATTTTATTTTTTTTTAACGAATTGAGGTCAATGTATTTCATCTGTCAGCAGTGACCCTGACTGCCTCTTAGATCCCACTATTACCATTTTAAAAACGACATTTTCTCCACCATTTAGAAAGCATTTCATTATGCAAATTAGAGAATATTTGATAAGCCAAAATTCAATCACTACAAAATATTTATTCTTGTTATCTAATCTTTTTATTATAGCGTATTTATTTAACATAGCAGTGCTATAAAAGATTGTAATGAGAATTAATAATGATGATTTTCTTCTAAATTGACTCCCGATTTCTCTTCTAAGCCCTGTCACTGATCTCTGTGTTAAACTGGTCCCTTCTCACAAAAGTCCTGTATCCCACAATCCTCTCTGTGTTTGTAAGAGGCCCTGTCATGTGACCTCGGTGAAACCAGGGCAGCTGTCTTTGCCAGCTTGAGCTGGACGGGGGCCGATTCCGCAGCACTCTGCCACCGCCGGGTGCCTTGCTGGCCCGGGGTGACGGCCTCACACTACAGACGTCACGTGACCTGGATGCTAAATGTCCGAGGCGGAGCTGAGATCTGGGTCCACATGAGCGAAGGTCGTTTCCCCCACGTGTGTGTGAGGACTCTCTCCAAACCGTTTAAACATTTAGCAGATTTCACTCTGCCACCCAGTACAGTGGCAGCCGGGACACAAAGTGACCTCTGCCTCTGTAAACCGAACAGGCCCAGGCGGGGGAACTTCCTGTCCTACACCCCCTGACCGGGCCTGGCACTCCAACCACAACCACATGGTTCTGACAGACACGGTCAGTTTGTCTCTCTTTTCCTGGGTACAAACCCAATGTCCTGAAATAGTTCCAGGTCATTACTCCTGTTTCATCTGTTATGTACTTATTTATTTCACTTAATTAAAACACATTAATCTTGCCCGGCTGTATGACAGACAAGAACCAGATTTGGCAGCTTCGTTCGCTTTTAGTCTGTTATTGGGCCTAAATACTACACGGCTTACGGTATTCATTTGGTACGGCACCAAGATGGCGCTGGATTTATCTGGCCCTCAGACAGCCTCCTGCAAGGGTGGGAAATGGTGAACAAATGCTTTCAAAAGGAGCCATCATTAATTAAAATAAAACCAAGAGGAGGGAAGATTTCAAATGACGCACAGAGATGCAGATACAGATTAAAAAATCAAAATAAATCACAGAGGGGATATAAACATTATCAAAGAATGTCCACTGGAGTCAAACCAAAGTCAGACAACAAGATGATCATCAAATATCCTATTGCACAGATATAAGGGTGCATATGGACAAAGCTGGGGTGGGCAGAGTCGAAAGGGGGTGGGGGTCCCATCGGGGCTGTGTGTGGGGGGTAAGTCAGGGCAAGATGATCTCACTCGATTCAGTGGGCGACTTGCTGCGGCGGGCGGGTCCCGGACTCTTGGTGGAGTTCCGCTGGGCACCGCCTTTGGTGTTCCCCTTCATCACCCTGCACTCTGTGCACGCACACACGGAGACACACAGAGAGGACAGCGGTTAGCACACATACACAGAAATACATGGAGCGGTTAGCGGTTAGCACACACGGAGACACACAGAGAGGACAGCGGTTAGCACACATACACAGAAATACATGGAGCGGTTAGCGGTTAGCACACACGGAGACACACAGAGAGGACAGCGGTTAGCACACATACACAGAAATACGTGGAGCGGTTAGCGGTTAGCACACATGGAGACACACAGAGAGGACAGCGGTTAGCACACATACACAGAAATACGTGGAGCGGTTAGCGGTTAGCACACATGGAGACACACAGAGAGGACAGTGGTTAGCACACATATACAGAAATACATAGAGCAGTTAGCACACACGGACACACAGAGAGGACAGCGGTTAGCGCACACATTCACAGAAACACAGAGAGGTTAGCGGTTAGCACATATACACGGAAACACATAGAGGAGAGCGGATAGCGCACATGGACACACAGAGAGGAGAGTGGTTAGCAGTTAGCACGCACACACAGAAACACACAAAGAAGAAATTGGTTAGTGGTTAGCGGCAGGTAATCCAACCCAGACGGCTCAGGCGACCGAGGTTAATTAGCTATGAGCTCAGCTGGAACAGAACCCAGAGCTACAATTTGGAAACCGCCTTTACAGAATTTATTTTGTTACTGTGTTTTAATTATTCCGGCCTGCGATTCCACGTTTGGCCCCCGATGAGGTAATCTCCTGTCAACACACATGTTTGGTAGGCTGCCTGCTGTCTGGTGCCCCATCTTGGCAGCAGCCATGCATGTCTCATAGGCAGGTTGCCTAGCAACTCCTGATAAATGCCTTTAAAAAAGGGTGTCTGTCGTGTGGCGCCCTCTGGTGGAGAAGCACATCTTCCATTTCGCTGCTGAGATAACTCCCAATTACAATGCATGGGTTGGTGAATCCCAAAGTATGAGATATAAGCTCCTACTCTTAAAGGAGGCCCAGTTTTCGGCCCTCAGCCTACAATGAAGTCCGTCCATTAACGCGTTGGAATAGGAGTAAGAGCCCCCCAGGGAGGAAGTAAGGCAGCTTGTCCCCAAAGAACCCGCAGGATGGAGAGACGTCAAACACACCAACATTAACAGGCACAACGAGCCGCTGGGGCAGCGATGGGAAACCTCAGATTAAATCAGCATACGGACCGGCAGTGATGTCATGCTCCGTAACCGGATTAATCCCGACTGCTGTCCTTTCTGAAAGGTCACAGTGGAAAAAGTTAAACGTGGGTGACGGTTAATAGCAATACGAGAATAACTATCAGCATGAAACATCGTTAAGGATGACATACTCGAATCTTACGGCATCTATGACCTATGACAACTGAAGGTGTTTCTCTAGGATGGTTGATTAGTAAAATACGTCATTAAATTAATGAAGAGCTTGCTACGTTCAACAGAAAACTGGGTGTTTTCCAAAGTACAAAGAGTCAGGTATATTATTTCACCCGCTACAAGGCACCTGGTTGTCATTTTGGGTCGTTTGAATCACCTGGATGCATCGTCCCAGATTCCACTGGTTGACGGTGGCTCCCAGAGACGTCAGTCTCATCCACATCGTGTCACTTAAAGCTCCAGCCAGACAGGTCATCTCTTCACCCCCTGCCCCCCCCCCCCACCCTTCACAGGGTTACTCATTTACATGGGATAGATTTTGGCTGACCCGGCGTATTACTCTGATAACCACCTGCTCCCCAGGTAGACCAGGATTTGATTACAGGAGAACTGGCATTGAACAATATTGACCATATTGTTTAATTAATCTGTCACATCCTCTGTACAGTACTAGAGTGACAGAGTCCCTGGGGAGCTGGGAGCCCGACCCCAAGGGCACTGGCTCTGGGGTCCTGAATAGGAGTAACATCCCATAAGGATATTGGTTCCTTAAATGTGTGCCCAGAGGGATATGCAGCAGGGGTGTTTACCAACCACTCAAACTATGAATTTGCATGGGGCCTCCGAGGTTGGGCGCCCCCTGTTGGCTGCAAACAACCGCCATACTAAATATTAAATAAACAAGTTCCTTATTTAAGAGATGTTACAGCAGCATGTTCTGCTACCCAGCTAGCTAGATGCAATTCTCTGAGTCTGCTCCCTGCTATTTATGTGATTTTTGGGGCACAGAAGTGACAGAAGCAACATAAATTTGACCGTCCCCCCCACCTCCCCCCCCCCCAGATGCAGACAATTTATTCAGCTGTCAGTTCAGTGTAGCACAGCCATGTACTGGGGTCAGAATCTTATCCACCTCACACGGAGACTGACTTGACCTAAACCTGTCACTATGGCAATTAATGAGTGCACCCTCTTTCCCTCCAAACTACCCCAACCCCCCAATCCCTGCCAGCCCAAACAGCTTCCATCGCCCCCACCAGGTTGTGGAGTGGAGTTTATTTGTCACGCATCAAACTATCTGTGTTACACAGAACCACTCAAGATTGTATAAGACACACAGACAGTCCCACCCAAACACTCACACATACACAGGTTTGCAATTATATCCTTGTGGGGACTCTCCATTCATTTCTATGGGGAAGATTCTAATCACAACATGACGACCTTAACCCCTACCCAGCCCTAACCTTAACCATAAGTTACCAAACAAAATAAGATTTTTGGCACTTTTACTTCTTTGATTGCATTTGTGGACACCTGAAAAATTGTCCCCACAACGTCAAGATAACAGGTTTTTATCACATTGTGGGAGACATTTGGTCCCCGCAACGTAATATAAACATAATCCCGACATACACAAACACACACACACAATCCACCCTGGTCAGCTTACCAGATAAACACACAGCAACCTTACACTCAGCGATGGACAGAATTTAATTTCTGGGGGAACAAATGTCCAGTAATTCAAAGACATTTTATTTAACACTAAATGTCTGATTATTCAATGTTACATTTAAAAAATCCTTATAGGAAAATAACTTTTTAAGTGATCTACCTCTTGAAAGGAATCTTGCATGTTCACAAAACAGACTGACATAAAATACGTTTCCTAAAGATGGCAAAAATGAAAACCTTCAGATGCAATAGTCATTAAAATCTCATACTGATTAAACTGTTTAAAGAAATTTATATATTAAACCGGACAGTTTGGAGTAGGGGTGCTGCTAGAAATTTTGGGGCCCGTGAAAGCATATCATACTGCGCCCCCCAGCCCAGACCAATCCAATTATGTACCATAATTATCCCAATTTTCTCCTCCTTGAAGATGCCCCTGGTTCAGGGCACATAACCAGAAAAAAATGAATACTTGGAGTGGGACGTACCAGAGTGTGAATGTGAAGCTAATGAACCGTTAGCATAAATTTTCAGTCACAGTGAGCAGCCAGGGACACGGTGCTGGTCGTACTCAGAGTCAACAAACACATGCCACTGACACCAGAGCCTCACCGTTCTCGTCCAGCGAAAAGTCATCCTGGGCGTAGCGGAACTTCTCGGGGCCGCAGGCGATGAAGACGTCGTCGTCTCCGAAGAAGTCCTGAAGGCAAGTCACCTGCGAGTGGGAGAGGTGAAGCCGTCTTCAAACATGCACATTTTTTTTTTTAGCTCTAACCTGGTTGCCCAATCTGTGTAACTGCCCAGTTTAACCTCTATTAGACCGGCAGACAGACATGAGGATGTTGAGGCATCAAGCATAGGGTTACGCCAGTCCGTGTAAATATCATACCACAGGCGCAAATACCAGTGATCAGCCTGCACGAAGGGGTTTTAGACTAAATCTGGGTACACACCAAGCCACGGCAAAAAAAACATTAGTGCCACCCAAGACCCACAACCGATCGGCTCATGTCGATTGTGAAAATTTGCACTGGAACACACTAGCATGACTAGAGGTGACCGTTGACATACAACCTAGTAACAGAACTCAGTTTCATCGACTAGCTTTGGTGTTGATACAACATACTATCTCCAAGACAGTGTCGACGGTGACCAACTGCTGCTCCGCAGGCGGTCCCAGACTCTCGTCAACTGCCTGACAGCTCTCAACGGCCAAAAATTGGCTTGCCGCATTCCAGGATTAAATGTAAAGGAACAAACACGAGAGTCCTGAAAGGCCTTTGACACAATCAATATTTTCTCTGCTCCAGGTACAGCCCCAGAGAGGCCGCCGACAAACCTACTGGCACATGAGGCGTGAGGGTAAGACACAGAACCGAGCTCACGGCCACACTGCAGCGTAGCTATACGTAATGCTACTAGATTACAGTGACCCAAGCGCAGATATAAGGAATCCAGATTATCAAAGTTTCACAAGTAAATCAGATATTTACTTGTGAATATCAACCCTGACCCAAACATTATCCAGAGGACTAACCCCAACTCAAACATTACCAAGATGATTAACCTTAACATTATCCAGATGACCAACCCCATCCCAGACATTATACAGAAGATTAATCCAACCCAAAAATTACTCAGATGACTAAACCTAATATTATTGAAATGACAAACCCTAACATTTCAGAAACTCCTGTCACTCCACGAGTGGTTTCAGGGTGGGGCCACTATCCCTTATCTGACAGCTCCCATAATAGTATTTATTGCAGGAGCAGGAGGGACATAATCATACCCCCCCATTCCTGCTGAGGGGACAGATAAACATATCAAGATGTGCCAATATAACGACTCCCATCCGCATTAAAAATCCATTTACATAAGGGGGGCCCTTACCCATTCATCCATTAGCTTAACAATGGGGGCGTTTGTCCCCTTTTACAAAAATGTTTTTGTAAGCTCAAGGATGCTCGTGTCCTTGAGGACGGTTAACAGCACGGACTGGGGGCGAGGGGGGGGGGGGTGACGTCCATTTTAGCGCTGTACTTTTGGAACCGAATGGTCCGACGTCAGAACTTAACGAGTCGGACTAACTGTGTAATACGGTGGCGTGTTTAGATCTGAAAGACTAAACGCCACACATACAGAGAAGGAGAAAACGCAGTGATGACGAGAAAACTGCAGACACATGGGGATGATGAAGACGACCAACGGCCCCTCCTCTGTGACGAGCTTCTACCAAACCCCACAAAACATTTATTGCCGTGGAAACGTGCAGTAATGTCCTTCTGCTGTTCTGCACGTGAGTGAACCATACACACACACACACACACACACACACACACAGACAGACACCCCCCCCTCCCCCCACAGACAGAGTTGAAACATGAGACCCTAGGGGAATACATATTCATTGATGCAGGTTATTGCCAGCAAATGAATAAATAAAAACAACACATTATGGAAAGAGCAGTTAGTGTTAACAAATTTTGTCCCCAGGTCACCACACAAGATTTGGGCTGAAAAAAAAAACGCAGACCCAAACTTCACAATGCTGAGGTGAACGCCACGTCCTGATCTTCAGGAAGAAGCAGGATATGTCACACACAGTGATTCAGATAGATGGCTTCAGCTCCTCCCAGATTCAGAGATAACTGCTTTTGCTCTCCTTCCACATCTGCAGCCCCTGGGGTCTGCAGGACAAGCTATCACTCCTGGAGCGTTTCTGAGACAGCTGGGAGCAACTAAAACCAGGAAAGAGGCCATTTCATGCAATTCCGTCAGTCGCTGCTGAGCTGGTCTTCATGGTGCATCGTAGACGACCGAAGGTTGATGGTGATGTGTGTTTTGGGTGGGTAAAGATTCTCTTTGCCTTACCAAATACAGTCGTGCACCACATAACGATGTTTTGGTCAACGACAGACAGCATATACGACAGTGGTCCCCTAATATTATAACGGAGCTGAAGAATTCGTATCGCCTAGTGACATTGTAACCGTCGTAACGTCGTAACGTCGTAACGTAACGCATTACTCGTGTTTGTGACAATGCTGGTGGAAACAAACTTACGGTGCTTCATAATGATAACAAACACACATGTTACTGATATACACTCACCTAAAGGATTATTAGGAACACCTGTTCAATTTCTCATTAATGCAATTATCTAATCAACCAATCACATGGCAGTTGCTTCAATGCATTTAGGGGTGTTGCCTGGTCTGATGAGTCTCGATTTCTGTTGAGACATTCAAATGGTAGAGTCAGAATTTGGCGTAAACAGA